TGAATTGCGACTTGTGGCAAAGCATGGCAAGCCGTGGCTGGTGTTGACAAGGATAGGAAACAAACCGATTTTTTCCCTGTAAATTGAACCACGTGCTTGAATTACCTTCAAGTTTACGATCTGAGTTGAACATTAAACAGAGCTTGTATTCTAACCCATGTTTTTAAAAACATACCAAATTCAGTAACAAGGTTAGGACACATGTCGTGTGCTCGTTTCGGTAGGTTACCTTAGGGCAATTTAGAACTTTTGACGGTACATTAAAAAAATTTTTTGGCTGTTATAATGTCCCCATGGTTAACGGCCTGGTGACTCCCGTACCATTTGAGCAATCCGCTGTTATTCGGATGGTCACACAATTTAACATAACCCATATATCCTAGAAGATTCACAATAATTACGAAGTATTTCATACACTGAAAGGCTATGGGAAGCTTTCCTTAGGCTATCTTGGTGTCTGCGTATTTTAATACAGAGTTCGTGCCTGACACGCATTTTGTGATTTTAAACCTTTGATAAAAATCAATAAACTGGGGAATGTTTAAACTTTCCAGAAGATTTTGAAGCACGTTATCCCATGTCTGATATCAGCACTTCAGAAACGTACCTGACTCTGAAAAGTCCCCTTGAACCCTGTTGAATTCGAATTCATAGCTGTTGGCATGAGTGACAGTTGTTTACATTTTGGTGCTGATGGTGATAGATTCGCCAAAATGGCATCGACGGTTGAACGTCTCAGGTCGGATAATCCTGTCCGCCTTCTCCCCGATATTACTATCACAACTCCAGAAGGCAGGGAATTGGAATTTGACACATACTTATGCAACTTCGAAAGGATATTCGCTCTCGAAAAACAAGATGATTGTGTTTTTGGCCAAAATACTGCGAGAGAAATGTTACATACGGCCGTGGGTGTGATTGCTGTGAGCCTTTGTTCAATGGACAAAACAACCATTTACGCTGTCCTTGGAAAGAAATCTGCGTCAACCGTGTTCGTAATTTCTAAGGAGGAAAATTGTGCCAGCAGAATTATAGCTGACCGAAAACCGGTATGATCTGTCGCCCCTTGATTTATTGTTTGAGGTAGAATAAAGATGCACTAGTGAAGTCAAAAGAAAATAAAGAATTTATGAGCAAAATACGAAAGACATTATTCGCTTTGAGAAATGCAAAGGTTGGGGAGGACGATGAGTACGAAACGAGTTGTGCAAACACATCCGAATATGAGCTTGTGTTTGCTTCGGATTTGTCCGAAACTACGGAAGAGATGGAGGAAGAGGTTAATGAAGAAGATAATAAAGGAGAAGATGAGGAGAAAAATATAAAGAAGGAGAAACAGCCAGATGAAGATGAACCGGAAAGCCATAATTCATCTTCATCTTCGAACTCTAGTAGTTCTGGATCAGAAAATGAGTCGAGCGATACTGAAAGTGAAGAGCCTGATTACCATTGCTCTCGTGGATATCACACCTTCGTTAAATCCTGTCTTCAGCGGAAGCTTGTTATAAGGGAAATGATCGAACAAAATGTGTTTAAAAGGGATAGCAACGTCGCAATACCTCTTATCGGGCCAGAACACCGTGTAGCTGCTGTTTGCACATTTCACACCCGTAATATAGAACCTGATAAACGTATTGTGCATATTGTTTTCATGACTGTTAGAAAGCACTTGCGCAGGCTTGGAATTGGTTCAAAGATCTTGGACATTCTCAAATCAACAGACATATCTGGATCATACGATGCTGTCGTGGTTCATGCAGACAACAATGCCGTGAACTTCTTTAAGAAAAATGGATTCTCCGATGATCTCCTCATTAATCGGCAGTGGACCGAAATTGCT